AAGGTGGTCCAACAAACATTACGGTCTTTTCAATTTTTTTTTTTTTTTCTTCTTCTTCGATAAGTCACATTATTACCTATTCACAATATATACATTATAATTAAGGGATACTCAATGTTCTTGGGGGCATAATAATATTGGCAGAGATCAAGAAGATAAATATTTAAAATTTATCTTTTAATAATACGTATATTGTATGGTCGATATACATACTCTAACTAAAGACAGAAAAAAAAAAAAAAAAAAAGACTCTATATGATTTATCTTATACAATTGATCAGATTGAATAATTGATAATAAAAAAAAATGTTACTTTTTAAAATAATTGCTTCCGCTAAATTATTTATATTATGAATTGACGTTTCAAATTATCAAACTCTTAATTATTTATACAAATTTCGGTTGGAAGTTAACATGTGTTAATTTGACTATATTCCTCTTATATATATATAAATAAACGGTTACTTAATTTGAATTTTTTTGTTTCCCGGACCATTGAATTGATTTAAGGTTCCATTGAAAATCTTGGAAAAATACCCTCTATCTCTGTCAAAGTACTACGTATAATACTGTAATAAAATATAAATAGTATGCATGCTATACTATTTATGTACATTATTTTCTAAATTTAGGACATAACTAGCACATAGTATATAGTTTTTCTGGTCTCAGTTGAAGTTTGACATTTGGATTCAGCAAAAGATTATGTGTATATATATATGAAGAAGATTTCCTAAAAAGCATATCATTTTATAAATAGGTGCATTGACTTGATCATGATTAATTCTTGAAAAGAATTTCATTAGAAGGCCCTACTTAATGAGTTAACTTTTAATCTCTCCAAGATGGTACATTTGAAACAGCTTAATTAAATTTTTTTTGTCCAAGCTTTTGGTGGATGCCACCTTGCGCTTAACATATTTTTAGATCAAAATCAGATGGCTGAGATCTTGTTGCAAACCCATAAGAGAGACCAGATTAATATTTAGCTCTAGACCACACGTACATTCTCATCTTTATCTAAAGAGAGAGAGAGAGAGAGAGCGTATAAATTAATTATACAAGGTGATGAATATTAGTTGTATGATTGATGAATATTAGTTATATGATTATAGTTGATGTATGTCCCAAGAAGGATAAACAAGAAGCAAACCAAAAGAGGAAAGCATGTGATATTGGCAAGAATAATGGAGGCATATATACCTGGCAAACCATGCTTGAGAGATGTTACAAACTATATATCTATAGCTATATACATGATACATATGTATGTAATATGTTAGTCCAAGACAGACATCCCTTTCGGTCTCAATGATGCTGTTGGTTTGTAGATGCCAGAGAAATATCTTGAATCATTTTATCAACTAGGTCACGATTTGGATCACTTTTTGACGCGATGACTCACACACAGTCACACAACTTGAAGGGTTAATTATGAGTGAAGTTTGCTTAGATTTTTAATTACATGCCTCGAAACAACAACTTACAAATCAAAGTGCTTGAATAATATATGGATCATTATGTTCTGCGTAGATAATTTTGAAGCTTGTCAAAGTACATAAAATTTTGATGAAAGGGTTTGTAGGTCACTGGTATAACCTTCTTTGAGTCCCATCATCAAAGAGGAGGAGATGGTTCGAGTCGGGAAGGAAGTCTATAAATTTTTGAGCGTTGTTATTTCAAACAGTATATATTACTAACTACTTACCGAGCATTTGTGGAATTCGCTATATCATGTGACAAATATATGTCTTTAGTGTGAGTAGTATTCACAGTGTGTCGCTTGTGGCCAAGCATGGACCCATGAAGGGCCCAATGGAAGCAGCCACCTCCATTGAAATTTTTTTTATCTACATAATTACTTATAGATTTTGTAAATTTTTAAAAAACATCTCTATTTTTTTTGTAAATTTTTTAAATATGCAATTTTTAATGATATCTCACCGTACTTTGTTGTAAACAAAACTACTCCCTCTTATACAACTTTCTAACTCTGTCACTGCTTGTGGCAATGAAATGATTTTTTTTTTTTTTTTTTTTTTTTTTTTGGCTATGCAAAACAATTACCACAGTTTGTCATCTATGCACACAAAACATGATACAAATATTTAGAAGAAAAAAAAGGGTATGCACACGCAAGACAAGAAAATGGCAATAAATACTGTATATAATAAACACACACTACATATCTTATATATTCTTTGGATTTTCTCTACTCTCTACTAAATTCTAATTTTCAATTGGTTGAATAAATATTTGACATTTTTTTTTTTTTGCCGTGATTATCGCTGCAAATAAGTTGGGTAAAAATGGACCGAAATCTGTCCAAAATTCAAATAGAGGGGATGGGCACATGAGGACTTGTAAAAGTGACGTCTCTAGAGTCTTGACCTACCTTATGGTTTGATTTTTCTTTTTATTTTTTCTGGGTTGCGTGTTGGCTTGAATTATTATTATTATTATTGTTATTATTTTTCCGTAATTTATCACAAAAGTCTTTTGATGCAACACCACGTTCTGGTCAGTTGTTTAAAGAAAGGATCAGGATTCTCAGAGTTAATTGTCACTTTCGTTCATGTCACCCAATAATTTAAAATATTTAAAAAGACATTAATATGTATTTTTACAAGTATCAATCTGTAATTATTTTTCGTCCCAAAGGCATAGCGGCATTTGCGAAATTTAAGAAATAAGTGTTTGAGGTCTTCTTTTCAAACCATACTCCGAACATTCTTGACTTGAATGATACGTATTATGGACCAATTAAATAAAAAAAAAATAATAATAACACAAAGCTGCTATTTTTCTCATCATCCACAATCTCCTTATTTTCCCCCACTGTTTTGCCTGTGCTCATTGATAAAGGAGTAATAATTAGTGTAATCAAAGAAAGTTGATGTGGGTCAGTTTTGAGTACATACACAATTATTATTAAACTCTTTAGTTTCAATCTCAAGTGAAGCCATTCTCATAATTACATTATGTTGATTTTCCATGATCAAAGTTCAATTTAGTTTACAGGCTCCTTTTTCATCTACAGTAGTTTTTACCATGATTGAACCCCACTCTTATTTCTATTTTAACTTCAAATTTCAAATACCAGAGAGGCTCCCCCATCCATTAATTTCCATGATTATAGAGAGCAATGTTTCAGGCTCCTTCCATCAATTTACCATTATTAAAACACCCATCTTTATTTCATAATTCAATTTTATTTCTTCTTCTTTTTTGGGTAACATGTTTTCTACCATTCTTTCTAAATACTGTATTGTTTTTTTTTTTTTTAACCAATTTCAAATTAAAAAAACGCTCCTTCTTAGACATTCCATCATTAAAAACCAGTTTTTTTTTTGGCTCCCTTGTCAATTTACCATGACTAAAGCCATCGTTTTTTTTTTTTTGATATATGTAATAACTCTAATAATATTTAATTATAAAAAAATGATAAATTGGGTAATCTCTTAGCCATTTTGGTAATCTTAAAAAAAATAATAATATACAATTTGAAGTCAAAATATGTATGCCTACCTATTATCTTTATTTTTTCTTTTTCCTACTTGAGCTAACATGATCCTTTCACAAGACTTTGCTTTTTTACTTAGTTAGTGTGAATAGTGAAGTAGAGTCATTAGAAAATCTGATCACCAGAGAATGGCCCATCCAGAGATATGGAACCTAAAACTAGTAGGTGCACATGTGTCATGTTTGTATTTTGTATAATGATGCACAATAATTCAACGCGTTAGTTATAAACTATACTCAAAGAAACACTTTATATTACCAACTTATGTGCACATCATAAAAATTCATTTGTATCCACATCAGAAATACAAAAATATATATAAGAAGACACAAATTCCAGAACAGAAAATCATTTAAAAATAGTACAAGTAGGACTGCGGCTGCAAAAATTAAGATATGGCCAAAACAATAAAAATTTCCTAGAAAATAAACAAATTCTAATTTTAGTGTATTTTATATGTACTATCTCTCTTGCCCTAACTGCTGCATTTGTGGTGTTTTAATACCATGACTTATGATTCTGCCAGCTCAAATTGAATTTCGTGACCTAACTACATTGAACCTTCCTCCCATACTATTATTAATATTATTGTTCACTCTTTAATAATAGTCTTATAATATTCTTACCCACTATAATACATATATAGAAGTGCGTACATATGTATAACAATATAAGAAAAAACAATAGTGGTTAAAATTCGTAAATGATCCAGTGATTGTCACCCACTAAATTTCCACTTTCTTTGTTTTTCTTGTAACAGACTAAATATATATACACATTAATGAGTTTAGGGATTTTTTGTTTTTTTTTTTTTTTCAAGAAAAAATTAAGTGAAGTGCGAATATCACCATTCATTTGTAAATTCGGAATACACATAAATTGCTTGCAAAACATATATTAAATTTACACCTTAGTGTTTGAATCCATGTTTGAACGCATCCTGAAAATTTTCTACAAAACTTAAATCAAGTTTCAACAAATTTATTTTAAATTTTCATATATGTTTTATATGTTGAAATTTAAAATAAATATGACAAAATATGTTTGAACTATATTGGAATGACTTTACAACATTATTAATTTTAGTTTATATGTACTTAAATTATATTTTAACAATTTTTTTTGTGTTTAAAACTATTTTAAAATATAAAATAAATATGTTAAAACATAATTTAAAACCTTCTTTGTTGGATCATAATGTTTATGTACGAATTGTTTTGTGTATGTTACCATCCATATATAGAACAATTTCCCAATCAACTACATTAGTGGGTTCAACTCTTAATTGGGAAAGTGGGGACACACAAGGCAAGTCACGTCAATTCCTGCAACGACAAAGGTTATTTTGGGAATAAATGGGGTCATTTATGCCACGTCATAGAGTACCAAGCTGTCATTGGCTTCCGTTAGGACTGACATTCCTTTATAAGCCTCTCTCTCCTATTCGTTTCTCTTCATCTTCAAGCCTTGGCATCTTCCTCTCTCACTAATCCCTTCCTCTCTCTCTCTCTCTCAAAACACCTAAACCTCTGGTTTTCTCTGCGCATCATTCTCTTTCTCTCTACCCTCCCCTTCCTCACTACTTGCATTTACATATATTTTTATATATACAGAAACGTATATATATATAGAAGAAATGTATAATTGGGAGAAATCAACGAGAGAAGAAAGAATGAGAAGAAATGCGAGAAATCCGTCTTTCTCTTCGACTCTTCTCGACGAGATCTACCGTTCAATCGACGGTGGACTCGAAAAGCATGAGGAATTCAAAATCAACAGAGAAAGAACGGCGAAGAAACAGAGCAACAATGGTGCTTTTGTGAAAGCAAATACTGGTAATGTCGAAGACGAAGAGACGGCGACCCTCCGGCGAGCATGTCTGATTGATAAATTGATTGAGAAGAAGGTCAACGAGAAGGTTTCGGCTCGGAGACGAGAAACATCGCCGGAGCTGGACAGAAAATCACCGCACGTTGATAACGATCCTCTGTTCTTCAGCTCTTCTTCGAGTTCTTCGGATTCGAGTTTCGGAGGTTTCTCCTCCTCCGAAACCGAATCCTTCCCCGCGCCGAAGTTGAAGACCTCTTGTTTTCGCGCGGCGATGCCGAAACAAGTGAAAACAACTGTATCTGCCCCGTCGGGGAAATCCTCTTCCGACGATCATCATCATCAGCGAAACAATGAAGAACTGAAAAGTGAAGAAGGTTTGAATAATTTGAAATTGAGAGCTTTAAAGATTTACAGCAATCTGAAGAAGGCGAAACAGCCGATCTCACCGGGAGGTCGGCTGGCTACCTTTATGAACTCTCTGTTCACGAATGGAAATGCGAAGAAGAAGACGGATAGTCCGAGATCAATCGGAGTCGATGACGAATCAAAAGCCACACCACCATCTACATGTTCATCGGCTTCTTCATTTTCTAGGTCTTGTTTGAGCAAAACTTCTCTCAATTCGGGAGAGAAGTTCAACAATGGCGTGAAGAGGACGGTCCGATTCAATCCGGTGAGTGTGATTGTGGACGAAGATAGTCGTCCGTGTGGCCACAAATGCATCTACAAAAATGATGATTCTCGGAAGTTTGGGACATCGTTGCCGTTGCGAACCAAAGGAAGGAAATTGGAAGAAATTGAAAGTGATTTCGTAAAATGCTATCAGAATCAGAAGAAGAAGGAGTTGGTGCTCAAAAATGGCCGAAGAAATGGCAACGATTACGACGAGGAGGATGATGTATTTAGTGATTCGAGCTCGGACTTATTCGAGATTGATCACTTGGCACTAGTGGGAAGGAATAGGTACTGCGAAGAACTTCCGGTATATGAAACAACTCATCTTTATACCAATCGTGCCATCGCTAATGGCTTGATTCGTTAGGTGTTATTATAATACAAGTATTAGTATATTTTGGTATGAAATAGTGCTTCGATTTTGAACTTCTTGTATAGTGATACATATTGGTGATGTCATGTAACAGAAATATTTGAATTAAAACATGGTTGATTGTCACATTCTCTAGTATATGCTTCTGATTGAATTAATATGTTCTTATTTATTCGTTTTTCAATGTGAATTATGGAATTTTGAGAAAAGGTAGCGAAGTGAACACAGAGAGAAATGCTGAAAAAGAGAGAAGAGAATGTGGGTGGTTGGGTTGATCCCAAGAGAGGAGGGGAAGGGAAGGGAGCGACAGTGATGGATGGAACAGGGTGGGAAAGAAAGGAAAAAAGAAAAAGAAAGAGGAGGGAAAATGGAGATTCGAGAGAGATCGGAAATTAGAGGGGAGTGTGATCTTAAAGGGAAAGGCAGATCTCGTGTCACGGGAATTGGGAAAGTGAAGGCTTTTGCTTTCTTTTCTTTCTTGGAACTGGAATTAGTCTCGGCATGTTGCTTCAACATGCTTCTATATATTCGAAGCCCCAGTGAACAAGAAAATGAGTTCTGTTTTTGGCGCCTCTCTCTGTTTAGTAACACACACACACACATATATATATAGTGTGTGTATTATATATGTATATGTGCATTTTGTGATTTGAGAGTCCCCTTAGAAGAATCTCCTCAGTCAAAAAAAACTAACATAATTTTTAAATGAGTTGGTGTGGGTGGGGAATTATATATATAAGATATTCTAATGGAGTTCTTAGTTCTTTTACGGGTTTGTGTGTATTAAGAATGGATTTTCGAAGGTTGTTTGTGTAATAAGATTAATAATGTATAACAATGTAGTTGGGACTAAAAGTTGTTTGGATGATTCTTCAAAAAGATAAAATTCCTTCCTTTGAAGATAATGTTTGTAAAGGGAAGAGAGTAGAGGAGGGACAACCTTCCCGCCTAGGCGTTGACGGCTACTAATTATTCCCCACACAAACATGGCCCAATCTAAATGACAAATCCCTCGTATTAATCATCATATTCCCTCTAACTGCAGATTGATTTCTTTTTTATTTGACTGAACCATGATTTAATTAGCCTAATCACTTGGTTTGATTGGGAATCTGTAAGGGAATTGTGCATAATTAGCAATCAAAATAATTAGTTAATTGAGTACCCTCTTTTCTTCCAATAAAAAATCAACATTGGGAATAAATATTGAATATGCCGGGGTAGTGGTAAAATAGTATTCCAAATAATGATTTGGAGTGTGATTTATAAGTCCGACCTATTTACGTGAGCGAACGTTGATATTATTTTGATGTCATAAATATCGCTTAAGTCATGATAATATCATTCATTACTTACAAAAAATTAATAAGATTTGTTGAATTATCGAACACTCTATCATTACTCACATTATACTTCAACTTATTTACGTGAATGAACGTTGATATTATCGTGATGTTATTATTATTACTTATGTCATGATAACATGAGTCATTACATAAAAAAAAAAAATTAATAGAATTTGTCGAATTATCACACTCTTTATCATTACTCAAATATTACTCTGATCAATACAAAAAAGTAATACGAATACTCACTCGTTATTTCTTGCTTTTCGGACATATCTAAAAGCTTTGATTCCGATTCAACTAACGGTGGGATGTAAGAAAATGACATCGAGTCCAATTCAGCTAGCCGTGGGATGTAAGAAAATGACTTTGTATGGAAAGATAGACAGTAAAAATTATAAGAAAATGACTTGTTTTGAGATTATTCAAAATAAAGTAAAAGACTTGATAAATAGCCAATCTATCATAGCCATGAAAAAGAAGATTCACTAGATTGGGTCATGCTGAGATCAGCTTGGTTGGTTCCATTTAGTGTCTACTTTTGCTTTACAGGAATATGAGGTGGTGGTGTAAAAGACCAAGTTACGAGACATTGGCGATCCCGAAGAACAAGTCAGTTTTCATGAGACTAGCACCAGCTTTAACTTTTCTCTCTTCCAAAGTGAAACAAGAGATAGGTAATAATTGATCTCCACAAAATTTAAAAGAAACCAAAACAGAATTGTCACGTATAACAACAATTTTATGATTTGAAATAACAATTTAATTTATGATAATGCAGGTTCAACTAAAAGAATTTTTGTCAAGATTATGATTGCAGGCGGAGCAAGAATTTATTTTCAGGGGAGTATAAAATGATAATTAAAAAATTATATGACTATATGTATAAAAAAAAAAAATTATGCCCAAAGGTGTTATAAAAAAAAATAAAAAATAAAAATTAAAGAAGTGAACAACATAATATTTCATATGTAATATGCCTATAATTATAAAAAAAATTAATGGGCACTTTTACACCTTTACACCCTTACAGGTCATTTTTTTTTTCATTTTTTTTAGTTTTTTTATTTTTATTTTTTTCTGAGAAGGTTTTAAACCTGAATTGGGATTTTACTAACTTGATGAATCAAGAAGGGGATGAATTGGTTCTTTTACAAAAACTTCTGTCAGCACTTAGTTAAATTTCAATGCAAATAAGACTCACACATTCAACCACAAGTGTTCTGTGATTTTATAAGAAAAATCTCTCTCAACTAGAAATCAAAAACCTTAGTTCCAAGCCTCAGGCAGTGTAAGATCCATTAGTAGATACAAACTCAGTAGTCTCTCACTCTGTACACACCCTATATCTCACAACAATGCACACATGTACTCTCCTAAACTATAAGCTCTCATAACTCATCAAATACATTATAAAATATGTATATCGACAATACTAAAGTTATCACAAATGATAAGAGTGATTGTACAACTTAAAGTATCAAACATCAACAACAAATCTTCATTATGTTGAAATTTTGGTCTGAGGGGTCAATTTGGAATTTCGTGTTAACTCAAACCAGAAATTGGTTCTCACAGCCTTGTATCAATCATATCCACATGCTTGGATGATGATCATAATGAAACAAACATGATATAGCAATTACAGTACTCAATAGGTCTTGACACAACTGAAAAACCCTAATTATGAAGGTTCACAAGACCAAAAACTACTATGGTCACTTTTCTGGCCAAATCTCAACTTAAACCGCCTTAAATTAGAGATATAAACATGCTCAGATGATAGAAATGCAATTCACATCAAGATATCAATAATATATACTCATATCACAAGGCTAAACCATAAAATGCAAGCATAAATGGAGGTTTGAGACATCAAAATCTACTACAACTATAAAATAGATACAAGCATGTGTTCTGCAGCTGTAAAATAGTTAAACAGACTTGCCTCGACCTCTGAACACCTTTGAAAAGGCCTTAAGCCTAGATTGAACCTCTGAACCAGCCTTCTGCACTAGCAAACCAACTCACTACAACCTTGTTCTTCATCTTCAAAAGCTCATACACACCATATAGATTTTTGAGTTGAATTAGCTTTCAAATTAGTCTCAAAACTCAAATAAAGTTCATTGTTATTGGTGTCTCGAATGCTTGTCACGATGTAGGTCTTAAGGATGCTCACCAAAGGCTTGGAGGTTGCCTTGCTATAACATGAGATATATAAGATACATATATCTATAGTCCTACTGTAACAAGGGTCATCTGTCCCGCATCGGAATCGGATGGGAAAGTGATTGGGTATAAATGGGTGGGTGTGCGGCACTACCCAATAGTTCGAGCTTTTGGGTAAATGTGCAAGCATCCACCCGTTACAGTTGGTATCAGAGCCAAACCCAGTCCTTAATCTGGTGTTACGCCAAGTGTCCGACCCGGAAGTTGTCGGGGTGAGCACCCTGAGTAGGCAGGGTGGCCAGAGCCGCAACGAGGGTGTTACGAGTTTGGGTGGGGGAAAATGTAATAAGGGTCATTTGTCCCACATCGAAATCGGATGGGAAAGTGATTAGGTATAAATGGGTGGGTATGCAGCACTACAGTAATGACCCACTTCACTACATGGTATGATATTGTCCGCTTTGAGCTTGAGCTCGCACGGTTTTAGTGTCGTGAGCAGGTATGAAATGTGAAGTGCTTCTATGTAGATGTGTCACTCCAATTGGCATGAGGTCTTTTCCTTTCCCTTTTTCAAGTGATGTGGGATTGTACACCCATAACTCGCCGGTGTGGTAGCCTGTTAGTGTCTCGCACTTGTCCATAACACACCGCCCACAAGGTCATCACAACTACCCAATAGTTCAAACTTTTGAATAAATAGACAAGCGTCCACTCATTATATCTATCTTAACGAGAAAATTCACATGACACCTTCTACCGATTATTGGCCAAAGAACATTCTTACATTTGCTCAATGAAAGGATCACAAATTGAGATTCTGTACAAGGTACTCTCTATAACACAATATCACCTTTTGAACTAGAAACTGAAACCCTAATTGGTTTGTAATTTGTACTGTCAATACAATGTACTAGAAACTGAGTACCTTTCTTAAGCCATTTGAAAAGACTTCTCCTGAATATAGAATGACTATACTGTCCCTATATATCAATGTAATGCACTGAGCGCATCAGAATCATGAGAAGCTCATTGAAATGGACCTAAGATATCCTTTTTTTGATATTTAAAAGAACAAACCTTAATTCAAATATGGGACCAACACAACTTCTTCTGAATATTTGGTGAGGCAAATTTTAAACCTACAATTAATAGAACCATAATATCGCCCAAAACCTAACTTTCAACTTCAGTCTTTATTATCAAATAATCTTCATTTTTGCTAAAATCGTTTATTGGTGCAACTTTTATTTGTGTGTATATATAGATGTGTACACGTACCTAAGCATTGAAGATCATAAAGTTCTTAAATATATATTACAACCACCATAATTTTGTTAACATTATTGCAGGCCAAATTACAACTGTGTGGGGGTGTGCGTGTATGTAGAACTACCCGTCACTCGTACGGCACTTGAGTCCAAAATCATTGATAACATCGTTGGCTATTTATTAAAATGGAGGATGACCTTAATTGTTAAAATAATTACACGTTTGTTGACAACAATTTAATTTTTAAGCAGTAAATTTTAATATTGGACCAGTTGGTGAATAGAGTCAGTCTCATTTTAAAGAGTGCTCAAATTTTAAGTTGATCAACACCTTGTCTTCATAGTGGACCAGTGTTTATAAATTATAAGCTAATGATTTTGTATTGAAAATTTGATATTGTTGTTGAAAAGTGGTGTGTAATGTGACTTTTGTAATGTATACCGTATATCACGTTGCATTTATGTGCAGATAAGTAACTAGATTGATTCGATTTGAGTTTGAGATTATTGATTAAATTCAACTCCTTTATGATCTACTAAATTATTTAAAATTCAATTTCAATGTGTTCACAGTTCGCCATAAGCATAAAATTTTTATTTTTTATTGTGCTTATTTTTTAGGGTCTCTAAAAATTCTGAAATAATATAGATAAGTTTTTAATGACTAAATTAACTAAGATGACTATCAAATTTTAACACATTCAAGCAAGTATGTTTCGACCTCTAACAAAAGTACTAAAAAATTCGACCGTCTTCCTATAACAATAAAAATCACGATTTTAAAATTCTAGATGAAGGAATTCGGTCAAGCAACAAAAGGCTGAGCAGTGAGTAGTGAGTTTTTGATTGTTGGATAGTTTTATGTTATCTCAAACGATGAAAAATGGACTAGTCAAAACTGCATCCATTTAGAATTTTAGTGGTCAAACGATTTATGTAGTTTTGACAATCAGTTCTTTATGTGTGTGTGTGTGTGTGTATATATATATATATTGTATGGATTGAATGACGTTATAAACTTAAATAAAGCGAAATGTAAATATGGATTTATGCTGCCGATCCAAGTCATTGAAAAAACGTTCAGTTGTTATAATTGTACTGATGAATGAATATCACTGAACTTTTTAAAAATTAAAAGAAAAAAAAAAATTTTGAGAGGGCCAACCACTGCTCATGGTCTTTCAATTAAATGAAGTTAAAAGTAAGTTTCAAATGGGTTGAATTTGAGTTTTTTGATGATCAAATAGTTCGATTCAACATTACTAGAATTTTTTTTATTATTAAATGTAAAAATGAGATATGCTTTTGCAGTACGGCATTTTCTAAACGAAAAAGATTAAGGTTGTGGGCATTTCGGATATTATTTCAAACACAGAGGTGCTTAGAAGACTAGGTGATTAAATGTAGTTCATGACAATGTCCGCCCGATCTGACCAATGACAACACTAAACACCAAATTAAGATATCATATAAAAGCAGCATTGGACTTGTTTTAGGTTTCCCCTCCCTTAGCCCCAATCCGACCTCGCCAAAGCCTAAAAAAAACACACACACACACATAGGGACTATATATAGATACATCATAAATCATGATCGTCGGTGGAACACCCCAGCAGAAGAAGAGCAATCTGTTCAGTCCATGGCGGTCCTCACCGGCATTGGCATCCCCGGCAAAGCCAGCCACCACAACCCCGTCTGGCGGGTGCTGCCGAAGCTTTAGTGACTGCAGGACTATGAAGTCTCCGCACCAACCCCCCAACAAATTTGAGCTGCAGGTAATATATATATACACACATACATATATGCAAGTTGGACCACATGCATATATACTTTAAAAACTTACTACTATTATTGTGTGCATTTCTCAATCTTGATCAAATGAAATTATTACCTTGCAACCTTTATGAAGGGTTATTTTTTCCACATGGTATGATGATACGGAATTATTTACAGTATTTTGCAGTAACTTCATGTAATTTTATTGGTCAAACTGTAATATATGTTGCTAAGCGGACTCAAAGTAGATGGATCAACTTGAATCTGACTCCAGCCCAACTCCATATCTGAACGGATCTGGGCTGGATCTAGGCTTGTGCTGAAAATATTGAACCGACCTCCATTATGGTTTGGCTAGGACCGGATAGACTTTGAAAATTTCAATTGTTAGTTTGGTTTGGAATTGTTACGTTTCAAATCCAAAACTGGTTCGATACTTCCATATATAACATAACTGTTATATCTGAGTTCACCACGCACACACGATACACATGGACAAAACTTGATTATTCATCAGCTTTATGGCTAATCAACTTGATTATTAATTTAGGACCAAACATTACAAAATTAGCCTTACATAACCCATATTATGCAATTCATTGCCTAGTTCACCTACGCAATTAACTAGCTATACATCCTCGTCATGCGTGTGTACATATATATATATATATGTTGTAGATGAATCAAACATATCAAGGAAATTCATGATGTTGTTGTTGTTGCAAATTTTTGTGATTGTCAAGGTGGCAGAACTAGAGAAAGAAGTTGGGAGGCAAAAAGAAGAGAGGGACATGTACAAGATGAAGATGGAAAGAGCACAAGATTACTTGAGGTACTGTCTTCAGGTAGCACAAGAGAATGGATTCTTGGACACTATTATTAAGTGTTCTAAAGATAATCAGCAACAAGACCCCACTACTAAAGATATTCAGCAAGACCACCTTCATTCCTCTCATCATGTTATCCATGCTACTAGTGTCAGTCCCCGGACACCACCTCCGGTGCCCCAACACCCTGATTTTGCAACCCTCGTCGATCAAGCCAAGATCAGTGGATGGTACATTGAGCCACATGAGGTACCCAAGTCTCATCAACATTCCTACACGAGTCTCTATTCATATATATAGATTCATGTACCTATTGTGTGTTAAATTGTAGTAACACCATCATATAATATAGTATCATGCCTTGAATGTCCAATTGAAACAGATAGAACTCCATCAAAAGGTAGCCCAAGGAACCACTGCCGACATCTACAAAGGAACATGGCGTGGACTAGATGTTGCAGTGAAGTGCCTATTCCCCGATTTCTTCCACTCAAACGATACTGGAATCGGCTTCTTTGCTCAAGAAATCGAAACTTTATCAAGGCAGCGTCACAAATTTGTGCTCCAGCTAATGGGGGCATGCCTTGACCCTCCAGACTACGGATGGGTTGTGACCGAGTTTTTTGACATGACACTCAGGGAGTGGCTGCACGGCCCAGGTAGTAGACGCAGGCAGAGAATAGTCCCCCTTCCTCCCTTTCAAGAGAGGCTGAGTAGGGCACTAGAAATTGCTCAAGCTATTCAATACCTACATGAACACAAGCCAATTAAGGTCATTCATCGCGACCTGAAGCCGAGTAACATTTTTTTGGATGATGCCATGCACGTAAGAGTTGCAGACTTTGGTCATGCTCGGTTCCTATGTGATGGGGAGATGGCTCTCACCGGTGAAACAGGCAAGGACAGTCAGCTAATTAGCATAGGGGGAGTGAATACTAAAGAATTACTGATGAGTACATTTTATATATCCTACTACAAATCATAAATGTTTGGAGCTTAATTTCTCTCATGTTACTAAAATGGTATATGCAATTAACATATCACTTTTTCAATTTTTTTTCAGGGACTTATGTGTACATGGCCCCAGAGGTGATGCGGTGTGAGCCTTACAGCGAAAAATGTGATGTATACAGTTTTGGAATCATATTGAATGAACTCATCACCGGTGAATATCCATACATCGAGACAGATTTTGGTCCTGCCAAGGTACATAGAAAATCCACCAACCCCTCGATATTTTGAAAAAAAAAAGACTAAGATTGATCAGATGGTGAAATCAATTCATCTATATTAAAATAGAAAACAATGAGGAAAAAAGTCTGCAGATGAACTATATTATTCGATAATAATGTGCTTCCAATATTCATTTTGTTTTCTTGAGTTTTGTACAGATAGCCATGGAAGTTGTGGAGGGAAGGCTAAGGCCACGACTTCCCGAGGATGAGAATCACCTGCTTGAAGATCTAATTGACCTCATAAAACATTCATGGGATGAAGATGCTGATATGAGACCATCTTTTGAAATGATCACACTTAAACTGAGGAATATTCAGCAGGGTTTTACCAATACCATATATGATTCTGATTATATTATTTAGAATTGTTTCCAGAAAGGTAATTAAAGTTTGTATGGCATCAATGTCTCATATATGGGAGTTGAATAGCTCCATTCTATGGCACCTGAAATGCACCATCTTCAGGTAGTTATTATAAATTTAAATCATTCCAATTACCAAATGTAAACCCTACGAAATTTATGAAAATTTAAAACATTTATAGCAAAACAGAAATGCAGAAATCTGTGTATGGCCTTTTGATGTCTCATATCATCTGCTTGCTACATATATTGATCAGAAGTACTTGAATTCAGAAATCTGTGTTCTGAACTTCTGATTCAGTTCGCGGCCTACAAATCAAGACTCTGAACTTCTGATTCAGTTCGCGGCCTACAAATCAAGACTCCGAGAAATTTTTACCACTCATAGAATAACCATCTGAAAGCCTAAACATAACAGAGGACACTGTTTTCTCAATGCTCATGTTACTTTTAAGTGTTGTAACAGAGGACTCTGTTTTCTCAATGCCCATTTTTTTTTTTTTAAATACAAAACAAGCCAACTGTAGAATTAACTGTACACTTTTGGTTGACAGCATGGTTACTAGGAAAATCATTACTTGGTGGTATAAGGTTAAAAGATGGGACTCTCTCATATGTGAGAAATGTAAGGTCAAGTACTGGGGCAACCATTTTATGCAAAGTTATAATGTTAAAAGTTTGGTTTTTGTCCTGGTCTTCACCCAACACCCTTTGTATGTGGGACATAGACGACGTCTTTCAAAGTTTCTTAACACATACAACATTAGTGCATCAATGATGAAGAGAGGTCAAATTTACTGAAACTTTGATTGGAGTCCACAGAGCTTGATTTTGTTGATTTATGTTTCCCAGTCAGGAACATAAAATGCTGTTAGTCATTACTCTTATGAGATCAATATAAGATATTTTTTTATATTTGTGATCACATAATTTGGACACAGGATTTACTTGATTAAATAAAATAAATATTAAATTAATATTATATTATTTGATCAACTCATAAATTACTTTTTTTTTTAATTAATTACTGAAGAAGTGTTTTATTATTTATTCCTTACTTTGATGGAAAGTGAAATTAAAGTTACTCAAAGGAAAACTGGTCCTCTCTCTGCCTTTATATAAAAGTACATATTCCCATCATTTATGTACACTAACGAAATAACACGTATAATGTTTATATATGCAAAAGGCCAAGTGAGAGAAATCAGTCTCCACACGCTTTGCTATTATTTGTACTTGCAGTATATCACATTGTTCGTTTCGCAGAAAGAACATCGATATTTGGCTTGATCTCTATGAGATTTGCAATTACAGATCGAGGTATTTATATCTAACTACTTTATTTATGCGTTATAGCAATGTGAAAATAATGAAGTTCTAAGATCTTAGGATTTATGTTTTTTTTGTGATTAATGGTTTGCACGAATAATTAAAGTTTATTGGTTTTCGGGCCTGATTTAATTGTTGAAAGTTTTAATGGCAGCTTGTTACTATTTGAAAAAAGCTCACTGTTTTACCAATTATTATTCAATGATATAAACGAATTTATTTTTAATTATCTGAAAAATTATAAAATATTAAATACATAAAGTGTATATATATATATTATTAGAAATTAGAATTTCTAGAATAATGTGTGAGTCTAGAAATTTGACTTTATTGGACATGCAAATAAATTATTGTTTAGTACCTAAACATACATACATGATGGAGAATCAATTTTAAATTGATTCAATTATGATCTTCAAGTCTAAAAATAAAAATAATATATTTTATTATGTATATAAAGTAAAAGAATATTTTTATTGAATTTTTGGACTATTAAATTTCTGGGATCGAACCTACCTAAATTTGGATCGATCAGTATGCGTATGTGTGCATAATGTTAGATGGGTAAATTAATGGTGAATTAGTAACTAACTAATTTAATATTCATGTTATATGAAGGTTAGTAGCTACCAAAGTGGCCTAACCATAATAATTGATGAATATTAATTTTAGTAGAAAATATAATTAATGATGAATTAATGACTAACTAGTTTAATATTCATATTATGTAAAGATTGATAGCTACCAAAGTGGCCTAACCATAATGATTGATGGATATTAATTTGAGTGATAGACATAATTGCAATATTTCATGAATATTGAGTTTATTTAATTATTAGAAATAATTCTCCAAATGGAATTGATTTTGAAGTGATTAAATGAAAATTAAGGAGTTGTATGTATTTTTTAATTAGATAGATATAGGATATTCAAATGTAACTTATTTGTTTAATTAAATAATGCATCACCAATAAAGATATACATATAAATACAAATAAGCATCATTATTAATATTTTATAATTGACACCCAAAGGGATATTATAGTTATACATTGTATTTATATTTTTAGTTATATATACATGTTATGAATTCAAATCATTATTGTTGTGAGCAATTTATCTTATTATGTTTTTTTTATTACATCCCTTAATTCGCATGCTACATTTGTTCTGCTTCTCAATAGGACTAACTTTTCATAATTGAGTAAGTTAAGTTCAAAATTTAGAAGAGATCGAACAAATTAAACATTATGGCAATGCAAATAATTGTTCCCTATAATGATAGTGCTGAGGAATATTTGACTATAAGAATGTTTTCGTATTGTAGATAAATATCTAAAATAAAAATTATTAATTGATATCACTACTGTTTTTTTTTTTTTTTTTTTTGTTGGTACTCATACCATGTATGAACAAAATTATGAGATGATTAATATTGTTGCAAAATTAAGAACCTTAGGAATAATGGTTGATGAGAATTTTCTCATTCAATTTATTCTTAATTTCTTGTCCACTAAATATGGGTCATTTTGAATTACGATAAGTGAAAGTGAATGAATTGGCCATTATGTTAATTTAGAAGGAGACAAGGCTTAAGTAGTAAGGTAATCATTATATTCATCTGATGACTCAAGAAGGTAGAAAGAAATTTGGGAATAAGCCTGAAAAAACATTAAGTGACAACACTCAAAATTAAAAGATTTAGGTCAATTTACTAAAAGAAAAGAATGTAATAATGCAAAAGTGTCATTTATGTATTGAACACTTTTAGAAATATTACATGAAACATAAAAAATAATTTGAAAAATAATAGTAAGTCTTTGACTTTTATATATTTCGAATTACTTATTGAAATTCTTTCTAATATATAATAGATTGACTTAAGTATTAATGTTTATATTTCTAATAGATGCAAGGATTTCTTATGGCCTAAACCACAAATTCAAATGAGAATTTCTTATTTATGAGAATTGGAAAAAAGTTTTGTTGAAACCATTGAGACATTTTGTTTAGTCTTAAACAATGAGTTTTATTTAAATTGTTTTAAACTCTTTATGTTTCTTCAATTTCCCATAATTTGATTTTATTTCAAAACTTTATGTTAATGGTTTTTCCTTTAAATTTGATAATGATGTTTATTTGAGAAAATCTAATTAGTGAGTTATGGTATTCATGTTGATGATTTCTGTAAATTCAAACTTGATAGTTTATTTATTAAAACCATTTTGACCTTGCATCATAATGTTAGAATAAAACGTAACTCAATTAATGAAAATTAATTTATCTTGTGGCATAATAGAATGAGACAATATTCAGTGAAAGGTTAGGAAAATTAGTAAAGAATGTGATTCTTCTAAATCTAAACGTTACTGATTTTGGTGTGTGTGTGGATTGTATTAAGGGTAAACAAACTAAACACACAAATAAATGAGTCACAAGAAATATAAAGTTTATTGAAATTATTCATACAGATATTTATAGACCTTCTGATGTTCCATCTTTTGGTGGAGAAAAGTATTTTATCACCTTTATAGTTGATTTTTCACATTATAGATATATCTATTTGTTGTATGAAAAATCTCAAGTGGTGGGTACTCTTGAAGTATACATAAATGAGGAAGAAAAATAACTAGATAGAAAAAGGGAAAATCATAAGGTCATATAGAGGTAGTGAATATTATGGAAAGTATGATGAAACAGGTTAATACTCTAATCGTTTGCTAAACTCCTTAAAATGTATGGCATTTGTACTCAATACATTATACTATGCATGCCATAGCAGAAGTGTGTAGCTGAAAGGTGTAATCGTACTCTTATGAATATGGTTAGAAGTATATTAAGTAATTCCTCGTTACCCATAATGTTGTGGATGTTAAGTAATCTAAATGGTACAAGTTTTACTATCCTAAATATAGTATGATAATTATTGAAACCGACAATGTCAGATTCATTGATAATGATGAAATCAGTGGGAGTGATAAAAATAAGAATATGATCATTCCAGAAGGTAGGGTACAAATTCATTTATCCATAACTTATAAAGATATAATTGTTTATTCAGTTGTTGAACTGTATAACAACGAAAAACAATTGAATGATCAACAACTCAATGATGAGATTGTCATCAATGAATAGATTGTACAAGAATCATAAGGAATAACATTAAGACGATCTCAAAGAGAAAGGAGATCTGCTATTCCAGATGACTATGTGATATATCTGTAAGAATCTGATTTTGATCTATAGTGAGATATATATGGATCCGGTTACATATTCACAAACTATTAACAGTAATGATTTGACTAAATGGATTAGTGCCATGAATGAAGAGATTATAAAAAAACATTCTCTCCAGTATTTAAGAAGGAATCTTTTAAAATATCATGGCATTAGTAGTTTATTATGATTTAGAGTTACATCAAATGGATGTAAATACAACTTTTATGAATGGGAGTTTATAAGAGGAAGTCCATATGGAATAACCTGAAGGCTTCACATTAGAGGATAAGGAATTCATGGTTTGTGAACTTAAGATATCAATATATGGATTTAAACAAGCTGCCTAACAATGGTATATTAAGTTTAATGATACCATTATTTCTTTTGGTTTTAAGGAAAACATTGTTAATCAGTGTATATACTAAAAGGTTAGTGAGAAGTAAGTTTATATTTCTGATTCTATATATTAATGATATTTTGTTTGTTAGTAGTGATATTAGTTTATTATATGAAACTAAAAGTTATCTGTAAGAACGTTGAAATTAAATATATATTAATGAGGCATCCTACATGATAGGAATAGAAATATTCCATAATAGATCGCGTGAATTTTTAGGATTGTCTCAGAAAACATATATTGAAAGAGTTCTAGAAAGATTTGGTATAGAACATTATTCAACCAGTATTGTTCCATATTTAAAAGGGAATAAATTCAGCATAATGTAATCCCAAAGAATGAGTTAGCTAAAAGGTAAAGAAACGAAAAATATTTCTTATGCATATATTGTGGAGTTTGATGTATATACAAATTGGTAGGGGATAAAAGATTATACGCTCACATTTAGAAAGACATTTTTTGATTGATTATTTGTTTCTTTTGGCTGGAAGAACAATATTATGAAAAAGTGTAAAGTAATTTATTATTACTTTATCTATTATGAATTTTTTAATTTGTAGCATTCTTTGAGACTACAATTTAGGTTGCAGAATTTATTTCAGAACTTGGAGTTATGGGTATCATTTTCAGATTGCTGAAAATTTATGTTGTAATTGTTGATCCTCTTGTATGAAAAATGAGAGATATTCTAAAGTTGAAATACTTTATCATTAAAGAAGATATTTAGAAACAACGAATGTCTATTGAACATATAAGCACATAACTTATGATTGCAATTCATTAACGAATGGACTACCACCCAAGACATTTATGAAATATGTTAAAAGAATAGGTTTTGAATGTAGTCAATAATGATTATTTTTTAATTGTGAATTGTTGTGATACCCCTCGGATCTGAGACACGGGTTGATCAGGCACAGGCCCAAACCTGAGGGATATCAAACAATTAATATGTTAAAACGAACACAGATGACAAAATGAATTTAATAAATAAAGTTTAAGCTGAAAGAAACTAAAATAAAATCCTCAAATAACAAAAATTAAATAATCCAACTCCAAAACCTCCAAGGGAACAACTCGGGAATCCATCTCTAGTGGACCCCTAATAATAATCCAAATAGTAATAAAGACAACTGATAAGACATCCAGAAGCAAGCTACGAAGAGAAATCCTACATCGTCAATAGAGTGAATAAAATCTCTGCTCAACACGAACACGTCTAAGTCTGGAACTGTCATGTACCTGAAAAATAGTAGTGGGTCAAGCCCACGAACAAGTTCTATCCTACTACAATCCAAGCAGAGACTCGATACGCATGTACATCCTAACCAATTCAACAATAGCTAATAGTCCGTAAATATACATATAGTCACACTAAAGGACTCTCACTGGACTACAGGCCGGTCTCAACCTGAATAGAGGCAACATGTTAAAACGCACACGAAGTGGGCATGCGTAATTAAACCTAAACAGGGTACACCTCTAACCGTCGTATCCAGCTATGCATCCCAATGCATATACGCTCCCTAATCGTCGATCCTGAGACTCAAGCTCATATCGAGGTACCATAACAATATATTTAAAATCCATCCAGAATCCGTAGTAGTGCCGCTCAATTATATGTTGCCTTGACACTACAAATCCATAAGATTTAACTTTTAGTCAATCCATTTCCTTAATCCCAGAGTAGGTAGGACTTAGCGATTTTTAAGCTAATCCCCCCTAGTATGTCACCGTCTCATACCGGTGCATATAATCTGTTCATTCAGCAAATGATAATACAGAACAAGTATGTAAGTATCATCCAAATCCATACTCCAACAATTGAGAATAAAACATTACATTTAAACATCAATTGGGAATAAATCCATCCAGCAAATGGTAATACAAAACAAGCATGTAAATATCATCCAAATCCATAGCTACAACAATTGAAAATAAAACACTACATTTAAACATCAATTGTTCCATAAGTGCATAATAAAATTCTGAAAGTTAACAGGATTATTTGATTTAACCTCCCACTGTCCCATAATTGATAACACAGTTCATACATGTAACTATCAATTAATATTCCCGCAAGCATATTAGGATGTATAAATTCATATGCCTATTCTACAACACTGCACTGATATCTCAAAATTGATACAACACCTAATACATAATTATATCAGTTTAACCATCACAAGCACATAATCCTTCTGTAATTTTTTAATACTTATAATTTGCCATGGAACATGAATAAACAATAACTTTATTCATAGATAAAACCTCGTTACCTAAGATTATGCAATTTAAATTCTCCGCCTCCAAGAACAGTTCACCAACTTCACTTAAAAAAATATATTGTTCAAGCAACAACCTTAATTGTTTTATCATGCTTTACCAATCCCTCTGAGGTTCTATTTTAATCTTAGACACTAGCCAAACTTGTCAATTACAGCTTCTAAGTACCTCAGTAGCATCAAAACCAACCCAGAATCAAGAAATTTCGCCGAAAACAAGCAAAAAGGGGGGTGAAGCCGCCTCCCCACATGGGGAGCCGCCTCCCCCTTGTGTGGAGCCGGCTCCACACCATGTGGAGCCGCCTCCACCTCTAGCTTCCCCTGTTCTCTCTTCTCCGTTTACCTGTGTGATCTCCGGCGGTTTTCAACACTTCTGTCCATTACTGTCCAGGTTTCGACTATTTTAAAATTTGATTCTAGTGTTCCAGAGAGTTTTAAAACATCCCACAATAATTAACTTCAAATAGAACAAGAATTACACAAAAAAGAAACAGAACAGAAAACAACAGTTCATGCAAACATCCGGTTTAGAACAATTCAGAACATGCAAACCAGATTACTTCCAACATTTATTTACTCCTAGAATTGTATCAGAGATGTAAAGAACACAAGTCTAAGGGAGAGAGTTAGGTATAGAACTTGCCTTACACCGATATCGCTCTAAAATTCTCCGGTGAACTATGTAGTTGCTCTTCCAGTTTCTCTCTGTCTCCACAACCGTAAACAAGGTTCCTCCAAACCCTAGACAACATACACTAGTATATTTATAGACTATCCTAATCCTAGGCCCTCTCTTAAACCCTACATTGATTTACTCGGCCCATACATAATATAGGTTAAATTCCCACGCCGGCTAGAAACTATGTATCCCACATATATGCCACCAACCCTACTGTAACGTGAAGTTAGAATACAATTACCTTTAATTAAATAATTTCATACCATTTATAGTTAAAACAATTAATTACACAAACCAAAACAATTAAAAAAAATTAAAACACCAAGTAATTTAAACCATAAAGCAAGTTAAACCATACATCACAAATAAATCAAATAAATTAATACAATAAAACAATTAAATAACGCAATTAAACAACGAACACAATTAAATCAAACCAAAATAATCAAATGCAAGTTTAAACAACAAATTAAATACCAGAACTATCTTTTTAAAATTAGGGGTATTATAATTGGTTAATAGTGCTTATATATATTTGACATTTTGCGCTAATTAAATGTGTTTATGATATTTCCTATTAATTAATGTACATGTACGTATTACTTTAATAAATGGTAATAGGAATAGTTTTGAAAAAGACATTGTTAGATCATTATTGATATTTCTCATTTATAGACTATGTTAAATAGGTTACTAGTGTTGTGGTACATAGAATGGACTGTGTCATTTAAAGATATATAACTGCCATGACTCGCATTGGTAGTTTATTTACCATGGTATTTATGATGTCCAACTTAATGAGTCAATCTGATTTATGGTGCACACTAATAACTATTTTACTAAACTACTACAGAAGTTATCATATGAGCTAAGTGGGAAACTGTAAGATATTTTCTTATATTTGTGCCCTACATGATTTGGACAAGTGATTTATTTCTATTATTTAGTGGTTAAATAAAATAGATATCAGATTAATATTATATTATTTGGTCAACTTATAAATTACCTTTTTGGTAATTAATTATTGGAGAAATATTTTCCTATTTATTCCTTATTTTGATGGAAAGTGAAATTAAAGTTACTAAAAGAAAAACTGGTCCTCTCTCTGCCTTTATATAAAAATGCATATTCTCATCATTTATATACGCTAATGAAATAACACGTATAATGTTTATGTGTGCAAAAGGCCAAGAGAGAGAAATCACTTTCCACACGCTTTACTATTGTTTGTACTTGCAGTTTATTATGTTGTTCGTTCCACAAAAATGATCTCGATATTTGACTTGATATCTATGAGATTTGTAATTACAGATCGAGGTATTTATATCTAATTACTTTATTTATGCGTTATAACAATGTAAAAATAATGAAGTTCTTAAATTTTAAAATTTATGTTTATTTGTGATTAATGATTTGTACGAATAATTAAAGCTTGCAATTAAAACCAATAATTTCACATTGGAACTTTTCTTAATAAATCATGCAAATATTTTTTGTGTGAAGAATGACTTGTATGAGTATGTGACATTATATCACAGAGTTACCATTACAATCCTGTCTAGTTGATCACATTGAAATGAACTACAATTAAAAGGAATGATTATATATATATATATATATATATATATATATATATAGAGAGAGAGAGAGAGAGAGAGAGAGAGAGAGAGAGAGTGACTGAGCAGAAAGAGATCCCAAATACATAATTGAAATTGTAATGGAGGATTGCCTCATGATTTTGGAATATTAGATAAAATACTATGTAGTCTTCGAGTCCTAAAACAATCACAAGAAGCCTAAACCAAAAGCTTCAAACAATTGCTTAGATTTCATAGAACTTTTGTTGACCACCACTATTTCATATTTCTTGATAAAAATCATTCCTTTTTTGGGCCTCTGTACAGCAAATTCCCCCAACCCGAATCCTGAGGCCTCAAATGCGGTAGGCCACTCCATGACCATGAATGAATCTTGCATCCTCTTCAGTGTAGACATGGGTTTCATTTTTCAGCCTGAAACAACACACATCTCAATCACCAAAGTTGAATATATATATAAATAAATAAATATATAAAAAAATAAATATATATAACACTCATAGAGACATTGAGACAGTGCTTTGAAATTAGGAAAGTTTTTATGAACGACTGATGTGACAATCATTAATACAAGAACTTTTAAGAGGGGAGAGTGTGTGTATTTATCTGACAAAGAGTTTGTTGGACTCTATTTGAGTAAGTTGTTAAAAAAAATAATAAATAAATAAAAACACAATCTGGCATTACTTTTGAAATTAATACATCAATGACAACAAATTAAGGATTTGTGAGCTTACGTTATGGAGACACTCTTATTGAGGATGGTAGAGGAGAGGAGGGAGGCACCATTTAGATACAGTAACTCATCCCCATCCATCCTTTCCTCAATCTTCTTGTCAATTTCCTCAGCATTGATAGAGAATGGTTTGTCTGAGGCCTGGAAATGCATACATTACATATAATTAATATACAAGTATATATATATATATATATATAAGCCAATTATATACAAATAATTATTCATTCAACAAGCTTGTAATTAATTACTAACCATAACCCATCCCCATGTATCTGCAAAAGATGGCACATGAGCTGTGTATGCCAGCACATCTGCAATATATAAGGTACTGTTATTCGATGACCTGTTTGATTGTGTGTTCAAATCTAGAGAGAGAGAGAGACGGTGCCTTACACTTGAAGACCTGTTTGATTGTGTGGTGTATGGATGAAAATACTTCCTTGTGTGTGAACACACCAGCAGGTCCAGCCTAAGCAACAGAAAATATTTTTATTACATTAAACAAAATATAAATTTATGTCATTAATTTGATATTATATGATATGATGGTCCATGCTTTTACATCAACTTTGGCTAATAAATTCAATTTGCTAATAAAAAGCATATGACAGAGACTGACCTGAGTGACAAAAATGCCATTTTCACTAAGCTTGGGCTTGAGAATTCGCTCGTAGAAGGATTTTGTATAGAGTTGATAGCAAGGCCCTCCTTCAACAGGGTCAGCCAAATCTCCCACTATAATATCGAATTTCTTATCCGTCTTCTCCAATTCAGCCCTTTTATCACAGTATCAATAATAATTAATGTGTTATATTCATGGTATTCTATACTGCTCAAGCATGAGTGTGTGTTGTAAAGTCTCAAATCTTTCCAAGAACAATGACAGACAAGCCCAACATTTTAGCAGACGTGTCTAACAATCATTTTTCTGTGAAAGTTGAAAAGAAAGTTACTTATGTAAAATGCAATTACTTTGACACATCAAGCAATATCATGATTCAGGCAACCTTTACCAAATGAAAATTTATAATTGAATGACCACTAAAAAATCAGCGTACTCATTGTTTTACTTTAATGAGGTTCTTAAAATGGATACCATCTATAGGTATATGTAATTGCTTACTTGGCATCATTAATCACTAGATTAAGCTTTTTGTTGTGAAAGGCTTCGTGGTTTGCTGTCAGATATCTGCGGCAGAAATCAACAACCTCCTGCAATTTATTATGGCACACATATAAAATTAACATCTTATACTAATAATAATAATAATAATAATAATAATAAAGAGCTTATAATAGATACTTGCTCATAATAAAGACCAACTTTTTGACATATTAAATAAGTGGTCTCGAAAACTAAGGCTGCTCAAGCTTTAGTTGAACAAGTTATCAACGATTCACTTGGTGGTGATTATTGTATCCCACTTGTTTAAAAATATGATATTTCTCTTTAATATAATAATAATAAGTGGTTCAGCATGCGATAATAATAATCATAACATGAATGGTTTGGTGCTAAAGACAAGTTTAGTCAACTAGTTTTGATGTTGTTTTTGTCATTTACTTGCAAATTATTAGGAAATTGCAATTTGTCATTTCTATCCACGGCATGACAATGATGCTGTCACCTCATTAGGTGGTCACGATTAAGATATAGTATTCCTAGACCATATATAAAAAGTCCCCATTAAAAAATTGCTGGGCCCAAAAAAAAGTCAATTTGCATGCTTCCACATATCTCAAATATTTGTCACACATATATATATATATATATATATATATATATATATATATAATGAGATAATTACATATTTACCTGATCAATATCGCACATGACCACCTTTTCTATTGATCTGTGCTTAATGGCTTCCCTAGCTGCAGAACCTTCACCACCTCCCATTATGAACACAGTTTTTGGTCTGTAATTAATGATATAACTCAATATTTTTGCACTATTCGACATATATATATGTATGTATGTATATGAAGAGAAGGAAGAAGATCTTAGTAAATATTTATGAAGAGAGAGAACAAGTGGAAATATTTCTCTCTCTATATATATATCTCTAAACACATGTATATGCATACTAGGTGTAAGACTTACGAGGGGTGACATAAGAGAGCAGGATGAATTAAGCATTCGTGATATATAAACTCGTCTACTTCAGCACTCTGCAATTTCCCATCTATCAGCAGCACCTACGTACAAATCAATATATATATATATATATAGTACAATAGAGGAGATTTATCAAATTAAATATAATTAATTTTCAGGAAAAAAAAAAAAAAAAAAAAAAAAAAAAAGAAGAAGAAGAAGAAGAAGAAGAAGATATGATATAATACGAACCTTTCCGAAACGCTTTGTGTCCAGAAGAACAATGTCCTGGTACTCGCTAGTTCCTTTATGCAACACACTAAACAAAGATAGATTAAAGTTAGCCTTTCTCCAATTGTTATTTTTTTATCCCAAAAAAAATGCATATGTTATGTTTTAAAAGTACACTAGTTATGCCAAGTTATATTTGAAATAATAATTAGTAACTTAGTATTAGAATGTAAACATAAAACTCAACATGGTTAGTTGATCATTATAGAATATTTGTGTCAGTCAAATCCTCCATTTTTCCAGGGGAAAAAAAAAAGAAAGAAAAGAAAAGAGAAGAAAAAACACGCACACGAATAAAGACGGAATATCCAAAGTTCAATTTTTTTTTTTGAGGTAGGAATATCCAAGTTAAATTTGAATTAAAGAAGTCATAGCATATATTTCACCAAAGAAAAAAAATAAATCCGTAGCATATCAGATTATTTTTTTCTTAGCTGGTGTATATCATATTAAATGACAATAAGAATCCTCACTTTGCATGTCTATAAAAAATAGTGAAATACACTCATACACCCACATGTGTGTATATATATATATTGTATGATGTGTATGTGTGTTTATGTGTTGTGTGATTAACATGGTTGAGGGAAAACCTGTTTATAGCATATGACCATTTGAGATCAACATCAATCTCTTCTTCGAACCATGTATCCCTTTGATGATTCTGATCATCATTAAGTGCTCCATTTGATTCATTGTGAGTAGTGAACTTATTAGCTGAGTAGCCATTAGAATGGAAGAACTCAACAGCTTCACCCATGATATATATTGATTATCAAACAGAGACGATGAACCCTAAATATTCAAAATGTGAGAGAGAGAGAAAACTATGAGAATATATATATATATTGAAGAAATGGGAAGACTAGATTGTTTGGTTAATGGTGTTAAACGAGGACTTTATATAGTAACAAAAGGATCAAAAAATGGGGATGATAAGGCCTAGTATGACCAACAATGATTACGTTACCGACAGTTCCACGGATTTTCCGTGAGACTGAGGTCAATTTGACAACAGACCTAACAAGGCACTGTGTCCGTACGCGCATGAGAACCATGTATTATTATCCATAATGATTTATGGGTTATTTGTATCAAGTTCCCTACAACTATAACATAATTAGTATATTGCCACTATACTGATTTTTTAATAGATTATCACCTTAGAATTTTAAACATATTTGCATGAAACCTCCTTCAAGTTACAATTAAAAAAAAAAAAAAAAAGGTCAAAGCAGTGAAATATTTTGTAATTACCAAAATACCTTTTAAGATTAATCGAATAAACTCTCTTGAACTTTTGAAAAAAAAACTTATAAAGATTTGTATATTATCCATATTTCAAGATTAATGTGCCAATTTCTTACATATTACTAGGATCTTGTAGAGTTATTTTAAGTGAAATTTAGATATTTTCTTGATGATCATCTAATGGCGATTAGCTTTATATATATATATATACACACACACAGAAATGGTCACTTGTTCCTTGGTATGCAAGAAATTGTATGCACACCTCAAGAAATAACCGTCGGATTTCATTTAGCAATTAAAATTGTAGTTTATATTTTTATATCCAACACTGAGGATTTAATTCGCGTATAAATTCTTTAAACACCAGTGGGCAGGTGAACAATCCTCTCTAGCTATCTCTCTATTTATATATATATATTTATGTCCTTACTCCTTACAAATGACATGACGTTAGGGCCGACTTGATGTAATATGAGGCCTAAAGAGAAATTGGTAAACTATAACTTCTTGCATTGATTATATTAATACAAGGACTAATCATTTTTATTTAAAATTTATTCGCTCTACTTGATCGATATGCATAAAATTTTGAATAAGTATTGATAGGCCATAGAATTTTAAAATGAGATGAAGTTCAGAACGAGTGAAATTGTTGAAATAAAATAAAATAAAATAACAAATAGTACTTATAAGATAAAACTAAAAGAAATTTGAATTGAGCAAGAGCAATTGTATTTATTCAGAAATTAATAAGAAGCATAAATAATTCATTTATATATATATAAACTAATATAATAAAAACTTGTATTGATCCGTAGAAGAACAATTTTTTGGTAAAGGAAAAACAAAATTCAATAGAAGCAGCTGAATTTATTTTGTAATTAATGTAATAAATGAAGCATAATTAATTCATTAAAAGAACTATATAACTAACATAATGGGATATGGGCCTTTCTTCCATTACGGCTTTAAGTGACTGCCTTAATTGCTTTACTATTGAACCACGCATGCTTATTTTGGCCCCAAAAAATACTTTTATTATAATTTATTCCCACCTTGAAAATTTTGAATGAAAGATAATTTTAGTTATGAAAATGGGAGTAGATTTTGGGTAGCCGTGCACGCCATGTGATTAGTATAGCCAATTCAATAAAATATAACATATTAGAGTATCTTCAATGGCCTCTCAAATGGGCTCTCAAATTTAAAATATAGCAAGTGGATGAAAATGTGACACTCCAGTGGCCTTTCAATAGACCTTTCATATTTTGAGATTCTCTAATGTATTCTCAAATACAGCAGTTCTCAAATGATTTCTCAAACTCAAAATATAGCAAGTGAATGAAAATAGGCACTCCAATGAGCTCTTTCAAAAGATCTCTTATATTTTGAGATTGTCAAAAGTTGTTAAAATGAAAATAAGGTACTCCAGTGGGTTCTCAAAATATGAAATGGTGGTTGTGTCAAAAAATAGCATTTTAGATTAAATGCACAATTGGAACAGAATTGCAAAAATATAGCATTTTATCACTATAACTCCTCTCAAAATATAGATTTGGCATAAAAATATAGCATTTTGTATTATAGATACTCTTATATTATTATCAATAATTTTATAAATAGGAGTGTTATTATTATTATTATTTAATGCATTGTTATTGAATGAGTACACCAATAACATGACATGCACAGCACACTTAATATCTACTCTTAAAAATGATTTTGTTCGAGTTCTACTATGTTTTGTGCACAGAACACACAAGGTTAGATCCAAATTATTGGCTAGAACTCTTATAAGCGATTGCAAACTTTCAAGTTTCAATAGTAGTTGAAGGAGTTGAGCTTATTGAACGGATAAGGCGGAAAACTCTTTATGTAGTTTGAGGGATATTGCGCAATTCATTGGAAGGTCTGGGGTTGACCCCTAGAACACGTGTCGGCATGTAGGTTGGGAGTGATGGAGATTCTTAGGAGTGGGCGTGTGATGGAAGCATAGCATGCGCAGCCGGGGGGGAGTGAGTGAGTTTGGCGTTTGTAAAGCTGGAAATATTTTAGAGTGGAGAAAAATTAATTAAGAAAAAAACTAGGGGGAACGCGTGACAATGCGGTGGGGACCACATTGTACACGCGTTGAAAAGGAACACGTAGATCATGACATAACTGTACACGTGGAAGACTCTGACTGCTCGACCCATAGTTGGTGGAGGCGTGGGAAACTCCAAACAGAACCACCATACTCCTCCTCCTACCACTTAATCACTTTCCTTCAAACCCATTGCAAATTAAAAAGATTGATTACCCATTAATTTATGACACTACTGAACTCCAATTAATGCCTTCATTTGGGATCAATCTAAACTTGAGGTATCTTCAATCCCAATTCATCTTTCACCAACCTCCAAGTCTAATTCAAATTTACTTCAAGTCACAGTTTTTAAAACAAGACATTTATTTTAGAATAAAGTGAATATATATATATATATATATTTCTCAATAAATATTTAAATACTCCTTCTGTCCCATAATAGTTGAATACTTTGAAAATTGTGACTCACATACTCCCTTTGTCCCATAATAATTGAATACTTTGAAAATTGTGACTCACAATTTTTGAATGCTTTGGGAACTATTATGAGTCACAGTTTTCAAAATACCAAACTATAATGGGACAGAGAGAGTATTTATTTTGTTAGCAAAAAATTCACGCATCCATTTGTTTTTATAAAGATTTGAACATTTGCCTCACTCTAAAAAGTAACAAATATATTATTAAGACTGCGTTTGTTTCGCCGTAATATATTTTATTCAGAAAAGATTTTTCTTTTGTAAAATATTTTTTTATTTTTACTTATTCGGTGTTTGCCAAAGGTCTTGGTCGAGTTCATCGAACGGGACGTGTAAAATAATTTACTGAAATTTAATGGGTAAATTATATTTGTTAGTTTTAATATTTTTTTTCTTCGTAAATATTGTATGACAATCAAATACTAGAAAATAAAAAATATATATTTTTTAAAATATATTTTACAGCCTAGCTACAATTCTTAATTAGCTAGGATTTATTTAGTTATGTTCAACATAAAATAGAGTAGTTAAGCCCAAAAAAAGTACTGTACTTAGCATTATAATATGAGAAACGATATCCTAAACCTTCCAATAATGTAAACATAATTATATATATATATATGGCCAAATGATAATTTTGGTTAGGTTGAACCCAATGGAGCTAACTCCATAATTTGGTTGTTAAAGCTCAAAGTCAAGATCAAATAGGAGTGTTTGAAAATTGCTTACGAGCTCAGTTTGTTTGACTTGATTAAACTAATTTTGAACTTGAACTCAAGCTCTTGCCTAAGATGATTATTGACAATATAAGGAGAAAATCTGATTACAAATAAAAATAATAAACAAATGAGTCATGTTCATTAACCTTGATGAATTTATTCAGCAACATCTATTTATCAATGCATTCGCTAGATTAATAAGCAAATTTATGGGTTATTTGAGTTTGATTCCTTTATTAGATGAGTTATAACTTCGTTCGTAGGTCCTACCGATTGAATGGTTGGGTGAAGTGTTCGGATCGCAGCGATGTAAGGAGTTCGCTGCCGGCTGAAGACTTAGAGGCGTTCAATCATAGACATTTTAGCTTTACTTTAATCAAATTAAACTTGGATTACTAGTGCAAAGTTTAACTTAGAATACAAATGGAATTTAGATTACTTAACACTTACATCTCTAAGTTCAATCCAAATTAGTCTTAGATGGGAAATTTTCACTGTAAACCCCAAATCGAAAAGTTCAAAAGCTTCATCTAAATTTCGTTAAAATTGAGTTACGTGAGAGTTGAACTATGTGGTGCTAACTAAATTCTAAAATTAAAATTCTAATTAATGAGTAAAATATAGGAATAAATATTGTAATTTTGTGATACTTTTACGTCTTTTAAAGCAAAAGATCCAAGTTCAAGTACCTTGATGAGATTGACTTGAATAATAAAAGAGTAAGTTAGAATAAGTAGAATGATGAGATTGACTTGTGGAAGTGTTGGTAGGCAAGGCATGCTAATTATGCTAAACACAGTGGAAACTGGAAAGGAGATTACATAACAATAGGGGAAGCCGGCAGAGGAGTGCGTTGAAGGGGGAGGGTGGGGACCCAAAGCCCATGCTAATATTGTATCTCTCTGCATATATGTGTGTGTGTGTGTGTGCTTGTGTGTCTGTGTCGAGCGTGCGCTGACTCCACTAACTCTTCATTTTGTGGACAGCCCACTCTGTCTCACCACCACACCATAGCATCCCTCTCATCATATCTTCATCTCTTTGTCTGCTCTCCTCACTCAAGTTACCCTTTTGCCCTTTTCTTCTTCTATAATACCATAAAACAAGATAATATTCAAATGCTAATCTCCATTATAGACTATAGGCTTATATAGTCTCCACCTTTTTAAAAAAAAAAAAAAAAAATTGTCTAACTATGATTATGAATCTTTTGAAGTATAATACCACATAAGAGTAGACCATCATAATCATTCACATGTGTGGAGTTGTTCTTGATATCCCTTAGGCAACTTGAGTAAGTTCAACGTCAATACTCTTGTATATGAATCATAACTTCATTTT